CCCCCCCCCAACTCATCCCACGTCTTAATTTTCATTGTCAAGAATTAACTTGCCTGTAACCTAACTGGTTGAGTGGTTATCGGGTCTTTCATTTCCCATTTAACTTCCTCCATGTCAAAAGTCCAACCCCCCACTCCCCAGTGGAACATTACTTTATTATCGGCACAGGGGAAATTGAAATGACTAATTTCTAATTAATCCCTTTTTTCATGAGATTCACAGTTATTCGTTCTTCTTCTTCTTCTTCGTCTTCTCTTCTTTAGTTAATTTTCACGATATTTGAAAGCGGTCAAAAATGGTCATATAATGATTTCCTTCGCCATTTTCTGGTCAAAATAATTTTTTGTTAACACTGACAAAGGAAAGAGATAAGCAAGTAGGGGGGAGGGGAGCTATTTTTGGGATTGTAAGACAAAATTTTGACAAGAAGGTATGAGAAATATCAGTTTAACTTAGGCAACTTGACTCAAATAAAACACTTGAAACTGCAGATCTTCTTTTTCTCCTCCTCCTACTCTAGTTTCATGACTTTTGCGTGGTTTTGGAGCTTCCACAGTCTTTAATGAAACGTTTATAATGCATTCTCCACATCAACTTGCATTAACTTTTAAAGTGCTGTCTATTGGTTGTACTTACAACTACGGTTGGCACAAATAAATGCCATGGTGAGCGTTCCATTTAAAGTTAGAAGTTTACTAAGAAGCATCCTTAATTGAACAAGCACAAATTGTTTGTTACAGAATTTGTAGTTTTAGGAATTTTTGATTTGATTTAAAAATTCTACTCTTGATGGACTCTACCTGATTTGTCTCCATTCCAAATAATTAACTTATAGACTGCCATTCAGCAATCTGTTTCAAAAGTTCTTTGCCAATTCAGAATTCGATTTGTTTTAGTTTGATTTAAAAAGGGCTTTAGACAGCTCCCTCAAAGTAATTTAATTACCTTTATCTTTTCCATATTTTTTTGAGGTAATTTTAGAGCCTTAAATTTTTTTGAAATTATTCCTCATCCCACGGAAATTCCTATGCAATATACTCAAGAAAGTACGAGGTGTATGGAATATTTTGACATGTAGCCCAATTGGGAATTCTGGTCTGACCCATTTTGGGAGCATATCTTTTCAATTACCTTCAACCTGAATTAAAACTTGCAGAACTTTCAGTCTGAAGGAAGTTTTTATTTGATGGATTTCCAATAAGGAACTGTTCAAGGATCCACCCTGTCCAATCGGATTTTGGAGCATGGTAGTAGCGTATTTCAAATGAGTCATTCATGTGACATCCATTAGTGTGGTTCTACAGGAGGTGCACACATCTTATCCTCTTTCAAGCTTGTGGTGATATTGGAATATTTTCCTGAACTCCCTCATATTTAAACTCTAAACAAGCTTTACTTCAGTACGCCATACGCTTTTACAGTCGTAGCAGCTTGGAAGGGTGAAAGCTAATCAAGATCTACTGTATTATGATGATGGATATCGAAGGACGGCTTTTCGCTAAACTTTTGACTTCAAATCTGTGCTTACTCTAGTTCGTACACGGTCTTTGTCCCTAAAGGAAGTTATGTGGAAGGGATTAATAATGTCAGCTCTAATTATTCGTAAAACCAATTTTAAACCCTCTTTTGTTTTAATTTCTCACGTTTTTACAATGGTCCAGCGCTTTAACAATTGTTCAAACATTAAATCTGTGATTTAAACACTCAGTATTGTTACTATCATCATTCACAATGATGCAAAATTAATTTTAAACCTTCTGATTACGGAAAAGAGCACAGAGTCTAATAAGGGGTGAAGAAGAGAGGACCAAAAAGATACAGAAATGAACGTCAAAGTATCAAAGAAGCTTACTCTATTTGAGATCTGACTTGGGTGGTAGAGTATTTACTAAGTGCCAATTCATGTTTCTAAGTTGAAAGTTTTTTTCTTCGTCCCCTGAACTGTACTAAGTGCTTGTCTACATTAGTTAGTACCTATTGACCAGTATTCTTTAATCAGGAATGGTTGGTTTTACGGCATAACTTCAGGTTTTTCCATAATGGTTGAGACGAAAGTTGGTCTTACTAGATATTCCGCAGATTAATTATTGCATATCAAAGAAATGATGAAATTTCATGTTGGTAGATCAGCTTATTAAAGGTTAGAGGATCTGAGCACCTGGATTAATTCAGAAAATCGAATTACATTCAACGGTGAACTCATTGCAAAGGCATCAGCGGTAGAAATGGCGCAAACATCAAAAGTAATTTGATTATATGCTAAAATTAGCCTTTCTCTTCGTTTCCCTTTTACATTTTTCTGACAAGTTTGTTTCGACAATTTGGATTTGAAACCAGTCAGCATTTTTTTTACTTTTTCGAACCTAATTTCACCCCAGAAATTCCCGTTTTGGAGATTCATTATTCAGTAAATTGGTGCTCCAATGACTATCCTATTCTCCTGGTTGCAATATTTGCCTTTTGCTCTAATATCTTGTTTTTTTCATTTCAAATTACGTTTTATTGACTTTGCTCACAATATATTGCTGGGTTAACTTCTTTGTAAATGGATCAGAGTTCAGTGGTCAATTTTCATGTCCTAAACTGGACATTTACCATTACTGACTAAGTAAGCAATTGATAATGCTTCCCAATAAGTATAAAACCGGCTTCTCTATCCGATATCAAATAACAACGGGAAAATCATTGTACACTATTTGTTTAGATAGTAGCTACTGAGGCAGCCGCTTAATTAGACGCACGAAAGCTAACTGCGTTCGGCTTGCCTTATTTCTGGGTAAGAAATTGAGCCTTTAGAGGTGATGTTTTATGGGAGCATACACACTCACCACAGAAGAGGCATGAAATTACTCAGATTTTCCCCAAAATGGGTAGAAGACATGGCAATAGGGTGGACACACACACACACTCAGCCACCATACCACTGGGGACATGAATTAGTAATGTACGATGTTTACTCAGGCAAAATGGGCCTCATAAGGCCACTCTTACCTCCAACCTCCAAAAAGCCATTTGACGCACTTCCATTGTGGCAGCATTTAAAGTAGTCATTAGGGAGTATGACTAATTTAAATTATTGGATTGTATTAAAGTAGTTGTTTATTTAAACTCTTAAAAGATTTTCTCATTAGGTTCAATCATGAATTCGCTAAATTTAAAATTGGAAATCGTAGTTTTTGTACGATTTTGGATTAAAGCTCAATCACAATGAAATGAAGAATATTGTTAATAAAGATACATAAACCTTTTTCAAATAATGTTTCGACAATCAAGTAATGGTGAGCAATATTAAGAACAGAACATATTTCGCGCACTGTCCCAACTTGTCACAACTCATTGATCCTCCGTTGTGATTGGACAATGGGAAAACATGCCCACTGCCTTAAGAAGGTTTCGGTTTCGTTATTGTAACACATGCCAGAACACAGAAATAACATGAATTCTATTTGCAATCGCAATTTCTTCAAGCTTTATGCAAAGTTGAATGATTTGTTTTTATATTACAAGAAGATGAAATTTTGTACATTTGAAAAGCAAGAGTAAATTAGTCGGTCTTTGAAAGTTATAGGTAAATTGAATCTATCTTGATCTGGAGAAAATTTATCCATAGACATTAGTGAAAATTATATTTGCTTCCGTGCGATAAACGTGCTACTGAATTATATAAGTAGAATGTTATAAGTAAATCTAATGGACGACACAAAAATATAGTAATCAAATTTCTTTTCAAAGAAACCTCGTTATTCTGCATGGAGTTTGCGTGGTTAAGATGCTCAATTAGATTCACCTTGAGACACCTTTTTGCTCTTGTCAGCTAATACACCTAACAATTATTCAAGATTAGAATCTTGAGTTACCCCGATCAACCGTTTTTTATGTATCACTTTTGTCTTATTAATTTTGGGGCATGTTATTTTGTGCGCTTTTGCCAATAAATACCTCCCGCTTAACCCCTAACAAAGCTTATTTAACTTCTAATAAAGGCATCATTCAAGAACGGCTTCATTTGGCTTCCTTTATAAAAATGATATCAAAAAAGGCTTTTGACCATTATTAATAACACTGGAAGGAAAGTCTCAAAATGTAGTTCAGAGGGCATGATTCTGAAGCACTGAAGGTTTGCACATATTGATTCACCACAAAATAATAGCTTCTCCGACTACCTGAATCTATATTTCTTAGTAAACTCTTTATTCCGTATATATATATATATATATATATATATATATATATATATGAGTATATTGTTTTGTATTTTAGCATCAAAGAAAGGTTAATTCGCAAATTCTATTTAGTAAAATTATGAATAATTTCATTTATCGACGGTATTTTTAACCATCAACCCTTAAGTTTATTTCTAATTAGAACTTTAAATAGGCGATTGCAGACATGATATATTTCAAGAATATGAACAGGAGCTATCATTTACAATAATCGTTAAAAGCTGTTTATGTTTGTAACTTTTTAGCCTTTTATAAGCAAAAATATAAGATATTATTCTTATCAGCTATGTATATTTACATTATGGGCAACTCTCATGTATCCATTAAGTCACGTTTGACCGATTCTGCAATAACTATCAATAAAGTAATAATCATTTAGAAATAGGATTTTAGTATACCAAGAGATACAATCGATATTGATGGGAACAAAAAATTTTGATCTTTGTTTGATTTCTATTTATTTAATATATCTTAGAGTGATTTTATCTGAAATATCCAATATCCTTTCAAAATATTCGATATTTTCAAAAGTATTATTATTCTAGGTTAGAGAAAAAACTATTTATTATAATAATCGCTTTTCTATTTATTTTTGAACACATCGCATATTCATTGGTCGTTTGACTTGTTTTAATGTTTCGCGGGGGTGTAATCAAACGCAACTCTCTTCTTACTGGTCCATTTTTGTGACTTTGTACGTTGTAGCAAGTTAAGTGGATAACCTTAATTGGTTGCTTTTCCGTTACAGTTTTAAAAGAATCTCCAGAAGAGCAAATTCCAATGTGCTCACCTCCTAAAAGGTATGTGTTACTTAAAAAAATTATTCCCGTAGAATTAAAACTGGCACTGATGCACTGGACCTAAGTCAAAAACCTAGCGATACGCCTAAGGTATGAACTTCTTTTAGGTTTAATTATTGGTATTTAGAAAGCGTTTGATGTCATCGTGCTAAGTGAAGATGATGATGAGAAGGCAACTCCTGTTGGGTCTGATACGGAAAAGGAGAATGCTCCTGGTGAAACCAATGGAACCGATTGGAAATCTGTAGTAATATCATTAGAAAATGAACTAAGGCAGGAGGAAGCAGTTCTCTCCCTACTGCATAAGCTAAAAGACAGTCAAAATCCAAATAATTCCAACAACTCTTCGACAACACTTAAACAGAGTCCCAATTCACAGTCGACTGCACTCCCCAATCACAATGTTGCTACCAGTACTCCAAAAACAACTCCGGCCACGCAGACCCCACAGCGTCCTCCTTCTGCCTCGCAGACACCGAAGGGTAATTTTTATCTCATTGGTTCATTATTTCCTACTAATAGTTGTCCAGGCGTCAGCTCCACAATCGAGTTCTCCACTTTCGACCCCCCAAATTTCAAGGCAGCAAGCCGTGCAGGCATTAGAACAGACGTGTCTTTCTAAGAAAGCAGCACTTCGTAAACAATTGGATCGTAATCTTGAGAAAGTTAATCTTCCTCGTCCACCGCCGGGGTCCGGTTTATCTGAAGTTTCTTTCATTCCGAGCACAGCTCCGGGAGATTTTACTTCCCTCTTGGGTTTGGAAGAAGTTGTCAAGGCGATACAAGTAATTTTCACTAGTTGATTAAGCATTTTTAATATAATTGTGATCCTACTAAACATGTTTTTTCAGGACTTCGATATATCAAACATTGGTAAAGCTTCCGAACCCCTGGCCAAATTTAAACCCTTCTTATGTGTAAAATGTGGAACAGACTACACCCCAGTTTGGAAACGCGAGAAACCAGACTCAACGAATGTTGTCTGTGAGGGTTGTATTGGTAATTCACAAAGAATGTCCCTCAAAAATGAATATGATGATGCTGTGGATAATATAATGCAACAGCACTGCGCTGCCGAACGCGAAATTGATAAGGAATATCAAGATATAGTTTCTGATCCTGCCAAGTTAGATGCCTACATCAAAGAACAAGAGAAAAAGCTCCTAACTACTCAACAGCTACAAATTGCTCAACAGGCTGCCTATAATCAACGATTTGGTACGAAGGTGAGTGCAGTTTTCATGCTCAAAGTGGTTAAGTCAATATTTACTCGGTGTTCTGATGTAGTTTTGCTTCGAAGTCATTTTTGCCGTATCACTGAACGCAGATCTCAAGAATATTCCATAGCATTTCTTTATTAATTTGTACTCTTCGTACTTTTCTCAGCATTTGCCAAATATGCCTTCCCTTTATAACCTGCTTGGAGAAGTACATTATGTTTAGAGAGCTCTTAAACTAAACGAAATTCAATTTTGATTAATGAACGTGTAATGAATTAATAATACTATCCTTAGGTCATTTAGCTATGCTAATAATGTTTTTCATTTAAAGCATTCAGATATAGTTTACAGTACTTCCTGAAAATTACAATGTTTGGAAGTTTTCTGATTACTTATAGTTGTTTCATTGGTAGGTATTTTAGACATTTGGTTGGCCATATTGTTTGTTATGAGCTCGAGTTTCTAAAAATAGTGGTTGCTCTATGTTATGATTGCGTGCTCTGTATCGCTCTTCCTGCTTTCCAGTTTGGTATCGAATGGAAGAATAATCAGTGGGTTCGTCTATTTTCAACAATTGCTAACAATTAGTATATCATTTTCATTAGTCTCTCTGATATGAAAACACTAATTCTTTTTTGAGTGTTTCTATGGTGTAGATTGCTTCTGTCATGGATGATAACGTTCAAGATGATATGCCGTGTTACTTTATGAAAGGTCTCACTTCGTACGCTTGTTTGTTTTTGTTTAAGGTAGTTTTTTAACAAAGCTAACTGATTAAGTTGGCCAATGCTCTCGTTAAGAATCCGATCAATAGAACTTTGCCAGCTTAATAAAACAGACGAAAATCAAGTTTGTTATCAAAACTCCTTTATCAGTGAGCCTATTCTCTAGGGCACAATGAGGCAATTTTTCGGTTGATGTGTCGCCCATTTGTTGCCTTAGCCCTGACCTCAACTTCTATATATATATATATATATAACTAGATTAATAGTTTTTATTGCTTTGCGTTAGTATTTTATGGCACTAACCCCTTTCTGGCTACGCACCATATTTCACATGCTCTTAGCCATTAAATTAGGTGCCATTTCGGACTCCAGTTTTACATCCCATTTTTTCTAACTGCCTTTGAATCTCTGCGGTTCTTGGCTCTGTGTTGGCGTGCTTTCATTACATTTTTCTATCCGAAAGTGGTATTGTAAGAGATCCAGCCAACATTCTGAGTTGACTTCAGGTTACTACACCATTCGGTTAGTGAATTCTGTTGCTAACTGAAAATAATACATCTCAGATAATTTCAAATGGCAGATATTCTATGTTGTGGGTTATGAAGATTTTTTTGTGAATATGGCAAGTTTCCCATTTGTAAGTTGTAATAAAGAGCTAGACACTGCTCTATGTCTAGAATAGGGGTGGTGATAGAAGAATGTTTTTTAGGTATTTTCCTTGCTTCTTACAGACATCAACAACGGCGACCCCATCAGGACTTCATCAATCGCCCTCCACGATTATTGGTGGAACAAGCGTAGCTGCGGCAGCCCATCAGCGTTCACGAGTCGCCACTGCAGCTGCAGCAACAGGAGGAAATGTTGTAGCCGCCGCAGCTGCTACTCAAATGGCTCTTCAATACGCCAAAGCCATGAATGTCCAGGGAGCCAATTCCGCCAATGCCGCCCTCATGATGTCTGCTCTGGCCAATTCGCAGGCTGCTCAAGCACAACAGCAGCAAGTGGCGGCTGCACTCCAACAGCAACAACAACGTCTTCTTGCTGCCCAACTCCTTCAGAGCCTTCAACACGCAACCCAACAGCAACATCAGCAAGTTGTTGCTCCTGCAACTGCTGAACAAAATGCTGCCGCTGCGGGTACTCTCAATCAACTCCAGGCCCTTCTTGTTAGCAACATTCTCGGAGGAGGTAGAGGTCTTTTGCTTATTCTTTCTCATTTTATTATTATGAGGTGGAAATTGTATTGGTTTTAGTTCTTTTGTGGTATAGAAAATTAAGGATCTTTCTTCTGGCTTCAGCCTTTTTTGGGCAAGTGCTTGTTTTGGGGCCTATAAATCAATCCTCATTGATGGGTCTATATCTTTTGTTCCTTCTCAAACTCGCTACATTTGATTAAATTAGTGTAATAGGTTTGATAAAACGGTGATAAAATTTCTCTCTACTAACTATAAGAATCGTTAATAAGTGAGCTTGTTTGTGTATGAATGAGATGGTTGTCTCCTTGCACTTATCTAAAAATTTTGATTTCTTCTGGCATAGCTCAAATCTTTTCGGCATTATCGCTGCTGATGATCGCTTCAGTCACATTGGAAGTGCATGTTACTCTAAATAACTAATACATGAAAGCAATTTCGTTAAACGATCAGTGGAACTATATGCTGGTAAATGTAGACGTTAAATCCCACGTAATCTAACATTAAATTATTTTAAGTTTATGACTAGTGGGTTTGAGCTTTCTAACTCGTCTGTAACATAATTCCAGGATTATGTATCAAGTGTTTATTGAGTGTTTAGAATTTGGTCCTATTGTCAAGAATTTTAATTTTGGCTTTAGTTGAACACAGTTCCCAAAGTTCCATTTATAGTTCTGTTTCCGTACTCTCAGTAAACTATTACTGACAAATACCGTCTGAGCAGACTTTTAAAGGCATTACTAACAGTACACTTATGTTTAACACAACGGATTTAGATATTGATCAATTCCAATAATTAGATGTTTACGTGTGAGTATCCTCTTTAGTCAAACTCACTTTTTATTGTTCAATTAATGCTTCTCGCCGTGACGTTGCAAGCATTGAAAAGTCTTCTTGAGCAGAAAGTGCTCCAGCAATAATTGATTTGAACAAGTTCATCCTTATCTAATAATGCATGCACTTATGCTTTTTAGCTTGTGATGAGGAAAGCTAGGAAGGGAGAGGAGGGAGGCGTATCGATTTAGTAGTCTGGTGGTGGTGGTAAGTGGGCAAAGGAAGCATTCTTATTGGTCACCTGAGCGATGATGACGACATGTGCGATGCAGCGTTGTCAAACCACTCTCTCTCTCCCTCCCTCTAGACGATTTATTGCGCGTATTTGTGTTTTGTTTTTTCGCTGGCTCGCCTAGTTGTGTGAATGGGTGTGTGATTTGGTAAATACCCCTTTTTAGTGCTTTACTTTCCTAGGATTGTCCGAACTACGCTGCACCATTGCGCTGATCTTGAATAATGTGCTCTTAATCATTTTTTTCTATTTCAAAGGTGCTAGCTATAGAATTAGATCAAGAACTGCTTTTAAAGGTAAACATCAATTTGATCTGCTAATTTCCTTCATTGCGTTCCTGACTCTTAATAGCGATTAATTTTATATATTTAACCTTTTTTGGATCGAAATATGTTAGTTGGCACTTAAAACCTTTCGCATAGGAAGTTGTCTGTAAACCTGCTTTTCAAGCATACTTAAGGTCAGTAGAACTCGTTTATGAATTCAATTCTCATCAGTAAACATCACATCGTTTGAGAAAAATACAGTAGGTTGAGGAAGGTGAGTTTCTTTTCCATAAGGTCTCCAGGATATCAATTCTCTGCCCAATATATGACGGGCTTGAGTTTAAAGATAATAATGCCTATCTTACACTTGTTTTCAAGGTTGTGTTGACACCGTGCGAATATCATGTTTTCAATATCTGTCCTGGTAGGCATTTGTACTCACTCTTTGAAATCATTCTGTGACCTTAATATTCAGTCACCTGTCTCGTTTATTTGCCTCTACCACTTATTGACCTCAATTTAATGAGCATAGTTATAGTTTATTGAAACTGACTCAGAAAGGATCAAGGACACTATCTCTTAATTTTAAATTGGTCTTGAGAACAACGTAGAGAGAACAGGTCTTGATTGGATCACAAGTTTCACTTTTCTACGCTTAATTCTACCGACGTTGCAAAGTAAATCATATTCAGGTTGTGGTGTCGGATAAAAGACTGTCAAGTGTCCAGATCCAGATACCTCGAGCACATTGGAATTCTTTGTCCTCGTAATTTTTCGTTACTGTTTTATTTCAGTTTTATTGGTGTACAGCAGTTTGTTTTATGGTTAATTTAAGTTCATGATGAGTTGGATATCGAACATTTAATGTTTTATTATTTTCCTTGTTAACCAGGATTAATTATCAAGCTTTTTCTTCGTTCTTTCATAGTAATTAAAAATATCAGCCTTATTTATGCAGTTGTGACCCAGTAATCGACGTATTTGTCAAATCATGGTCATAAGATCGAAACCTATAGCTTCATTTTCAGTGCATTATGTGATCAACTATCCTGTTCAATTATAGGCCACATAATGAGGTGTAAAACGCGAGTTTCTCGTAAGGGCTGCTCTGGCTTATCTTTCCTCCACCCTCAGGTCAACTATTTTAAGCTACGCACGTTGTTTCTATGGGTATGGGGGTTTGACACGGTAAATTTGTGAGGGGGTTAGAGGAGGGACTTGAGTATCAGAGTGCGTTGTTACTTTTTGGACACTCGATCCATTACAGCCCCTGACTATAATCTATTATTCTTCCTCGTAGCTGGAGGTGTACAGAATGCGTCAGCCCGAACCCAACTCTTTCAGACCATGCAGTACTTGCTTATGCAGCATCAACAACAGCAGCATCAAGCTCAGCAGGCTGCCGCAGCTCAAGCAGCTGCTGCGCAACAAAACGTTGCGCTCCAACACCTTTTCGCCCAAATCCAAAGTAATCCCAGCTACGCGAACTTCTTCCAGCAGTTGTGGCCTGGTGGTGGTGGTGGGGCTGCAGCCAATAACAGCAATCAATCTGGAGCCAATAAGAAGTAGGCGTCGCCATCTCGTGGTCACGTGCTTGAAGCGGTTTTGTCTTTGCTTCACCCCGATCCTTTTCATTGTATCTATAGTCCATCCAATAAGGCACACCGTTCGTCTCACCACCACTAACTTTTGTCTATCTTGCCTGCCGCCTCACCTCTTTTTCATATATTCACAAATACCCATTCTCTCTTCTTGGAATTCTTACAATGTGTTTGCATATATAGCTCTTTATTCTATCCTCTTTCCTTTTTCCTCTGTCAAAAAATAAACACTACCGACTGTATTTGGTGATTTGAGATTGTTCTCTTGGGTGTTAACAGTGATCCAGATCTCTGGTATGTGATCGGTCTTGTTCCTGCAGTTAAACTCAGTATGTTCGAGGACAGACTGGGAGGGAGGGGGGGGGGGTATTGAGCGCTATCCATAAACTTCGTATAGATATACTTGCTTTATCATAAACCAGCTGTCGGTATTCATTATTAATGGTGAAAGACTTTCGTCCCTGGCTTATTTGCCCTTTGGTCGCTCAATCAATTCCATAACTAAACGAATTTATATTTATAATTAAGAGAGTTGAAACTGTTAAGGAGTGGGGTTGCTTATGAGGGGGGAGAAAACCGAGATAGCAATATGAAGTTTCTACTCCTAAAACTCAAATCAGTGACATACTTTCTAAATTTGATGTACGATGGATGAATAGGAAAAGTGTTGTCCATTGTTATGATATCAATAAACAGGCAATAAAAGTTTGGAATTGACCAGCGGCTTGTAATTTGGTGAAAATGCTCATTGCCTATGAAGAAGGACAAGCCATTTGCTACTAGGACCCCCAGGATAAGCTGGCATACTGTTTCGAGATGGAATGAGCTTTAGCGGTTGGATTCTCATCCATCAGGTCTGACAGCTCATATGCGTCGTTTGTGTAGATTTATAAAGATTGCTATTTAAACATACGCCGATGTGTGGTGAAATCGCAAAATAGGTTGATTCAGATCCATAAAAGGATCTCATTGAAAGGGATTACGTTGAACGAAAATTGCAAAACAAAAATAATTAAAGCGCACAATTTGGTGTATTCTGGATTGCGTCATATCATAACAATGTTAACAGGGCAACGATACACACCCGCCCCCCAACCCTGAGAGCAAACAGCTTAAATTGCTCAGTTGAAAGTTTGTCGTATTTCATTAATAACGTCACCTAATTCTTCCGCCAGTGAACTGTCTGCCTAAAGTGAAAGGGGAAAGGATTGATCTCATTGCAGGAAAATGGGTTTTTGCCTCCTCATTCACCACAGTAATCTTAATGCACTGCTATCTTCAGTCCAGATCTATTTTGGTCCCAATTCCAATTATTTCGAAAAGCAGCACTATTAAAGTGGAGTGCTTAGTCATTCATTTAATTTGGTGGAGCATGTAAACTTTCTTGAATAGCAGAATAGATTTCGTGGAAATCAATGAGCCACATAAAAGAGACTCCTGCTTAGATAGGGAACGCCAAGGTATATACGAGTAGTTGGTGGAGATATTTCAGATTTGGTCAGAATGATCCTTTAGTCGGATTTATAATAGTACACCGCTGATTCGTTAATCAGGTATCCTAACTGGCCAAGTGGTAGTCCATAGTGATTTTTTAGTTAGAACTCAGGTTATTTTGGTACTGAATATTGCCTTGTCAAGCATCACTAGCCTAGCAGGTGAAGACGGGAATTACATACTGTTGGTGAATAGTAAGTTTCCTGAGTGTAAAACTTTACCGCTTCATATCCCAGAGAAGTAATAGATGCTAAAATGAAGGTTGCCAATAAAGTTTCACTAGGTGACCACCGAAACAATACCACTGGTTGTTTCAAACTTAAGGTGAAAGGCCAGAAGTGGGATGCATTCTACTCCAAAAAGTACAACTACAGGAGGAGGGGGGGGGGAAGTAAGAGAACTTTTATGGAGGTTGGTCTCTAGGAAATGGTTGGGTGCCTGGTTGACTAAGAATGTAGCAATTACTACGTAGTGGGTGTAATTTTACCCTTTTCCAAGAGGATCCAATAGTCATTATTACCTGATAAAGGAGTAAATGAACTTAAGGAGGAACAACTCTCAAAATTCAACCCGGAGACGAATGGATTATATTAGCTCTTCCTTTAATAATAAGTATGAAATTTTCTGCCATTTAATGACTCTCATCTAAGCATAAACTGTACCTTAGCTGAATGTTTAGAGTCAGAGTTCTATATTAGATGGACGGGGTACGCAATAGACTTACCTCCACGTGGTGCACCCTGGGCAACGTATACTTATACGGCAAAAGGTCTATTGATCGGCAGTTGACCTCTGACTTCAAACTACTATGGCCCAACTATTTGTCATATTCGACCCCTTCAGCAGTACTCATCTTACCTTTTTTTGCCTTTTTGTCTGTCTGTCCCTTTTACCTCTGTGAATCATTATTCTGTCTCCCATCTCGACTTTTTGTCACTTTAATGTCCCTCCTCCTCCTCTCTGTGAAGCCCCGAAGTCAGCTCCAGGGCTAATGATAACTATCAAAACGCCTGCCATTTGAGAGACTGCTGAGATCATAAACTTTGAAGTGCTTTTTATTTGTTTTTTTATGGCAAATGTTGATTTGATTCCACCTTTTCGACTAGTTTTGATTAGCACACAAACGTAAATCGCCTATTTTCACAAATTGACTGCATATTAGGCCTGAAATGGAGTCATATTCAGTGTTTTGCTGGTGAGTCATGCTTTTGCACCACCCCTTCTACCAATTTCCTGTCGGTTTTATGCCGTCCTCGGAAGCTCTATTTTAATTTCCCTGGTGGGCCAGAAAGACGGTTGTTATTCTAATTGTAGGAGGGGTTGGAGTACGTTTTCACACTTCTAATAAGTCCATTAAAATTCCAAATCAAAGATAGGTCACTTTGAATATCTGGTCTATTTTTTCCAATTAACCCAAAAGGTCATTTGAATTGAAACTACTTCTTATAGCCCATTAGTTCAATCGATGAACTTTGAATAGACAATCAGTTGTATTCAGTAATAGTGGTGCACAAATTAGGAGGCTCTGGCAATATAAACCCATTAGCCATCTTATATCTATTTTCTTTAAGCCTTAATTTGTTGGAAATCACTTGAGATCATTTGCCTTGGCAACAATTTTGGAAAAATGAAGATGGAGTGACATGGCTAACCCTTCATGAATAAGTAATAATGTTCAAAAGAATTGTGCATCTTAGGTAATCCAGGGGACGACTCGTGAAATATGAATTTTGGTCGTGAATTACTCATTTTGCAAATTTTGTTCAGCCGCGATCCAGAAATCAAGAAAATTAAGACTCTTTGTTACCTTGACACTGTTTTCAGCATCATTTTGATCCCATCTTCTTCATTATTGCTGGATCTACTGTTATCCGATGTCAATTACTTTCTCCAAGTAAAGTTTAAAAAACTTTTTACATGTCCTTGGGTAGTAATGATAAGCTATACAACACACTGTCCACACAGTCCAAACTATTCGGCTCACTTTTAGGGACATGGTCACAAGGTCATCCAAGGTCATAAATTCCACAAAATTTCACAACTCAGTCCGTCTGTGTTCCAATCTTTGAAGGGATGAATGTCTTCTTCTTTGCCTTTCATCCTCACCCTCTGTGCAAGGATTGTTGCCACTTGCCTTGTTAATTTGCTGAGCTGTGCGTGAAATCTCGCTTACCGACTGCGCTGCAATAAGCACAAGTTTTTGTCCATTTAGAACTCCGTTTTCGCACTTCAGGTTTAATCAACCAATCTGTCAGCTGAAGTTATGGGATCATCACATGAGTTCTCGAGCTACGTTAATTTAAAGTTTTGCTGATTTAGTGGACAAATTTGTGTGAATACTATATCAGCAAACCATAAAGATATTATCTTTTGCTGAGATACTTTTGCGTAATGACAAACGCATTTATGAGGTCCATTATCTTGGTGTGATCGCAAAATTAATGTGAGTACTTAATCAGTAACTAGCTTGTGACCGAAATGATGAGTCATCCTTTATGGCTAAGTTGTGTTACCTTCCAGACATGTGTTCCAGTCAAGAGATTCATTCAGTAATATCATAAGGTCTCACACTCAATTTAGCCCATATAAGTTGATTAAGTTTATTTATGGCAATTATTTAAGGCGAACTCTGGAGGGGCTCTTAAGATTGGAAATATATTGCAATCTTTAGGTGCACTTGATTTTTCAAATTCTGGCTCTGGAATCCACTTTTCGAATTCATTTATTTCATTTCGCTAACGCTTGCTCTTTACATATTAACCATCGCGGACAAAGAAGCTTTACAACTTTTCAGCAGACTAAAACGTCCAAGAATTAGGAAAGTGGTTGAAGTACGTTTAAATTTTAAGATGGAATGCGAGGGTAGACAAGAGAAGCAGAAGTGGGCAATTCAGGAGAAACCTGCTTCATTTGGACTCCGTAATTTTAAAATGACCTTTCTTCAAACCCAACCTTTCTATCCACTACCTTGCTAATCATATTAAAATATGGGTGACAATTTTCCAAATACTTACATCCGACGGGAAACCTGCATCCTGATCCTAATTTTAATCGGAGCAGTTAGTTGGTCTATTCGATAGATATGGACCAATGAATTTACGATATTCAGCGGGCTAATCTTTTAGGCAGATGCTGAGGGGTTTTATTGTTAAAAGAAGCCTGAACAACAGTGATTTTGTCAGATTCTACCCCCAGCCCCCTCCCCCCCCCCCAAATCAAACCAACTAGATGGTAGCCATTTTGAAGTTGAAATAACACTGAGGTATTTAATTTTACAGGCTATTTACATGAACAAGTTTTCCAGTTAAAATTGGGGCTCAAATTAGAAGTTAGTTAGTGACACTGCTCTACAAGAGCATGCTTTCAGGGAACAGTGAAAGTGTATCTGGCAAAGTTATTTAAAGATAAAGGAAAATTATTTACTACGTGGCCATGATAGTCAGATCAGCGTCACTGGCCACAATTAAAGCTAAG